AGACCGACCTACCAAGGGTTCGAGCTACCTTCAGATCGAACTCCAAGAATTCAGGGAACGTAAGGTATGACCTGAAGGATTGGGGGTATTTATAGCTCGTCGGAAAAATTTCCCCACCGTACACGTGTAATCAACGAGCGGCTAGGATCCTCCCTAAGATCCGAAGCGTCGGAATATTTGAATATTCCGACGATAAATCTACCGCAACGGTTATATTTTCCCACGAATAGGAAGTCGTCACGCGTCCAAAGCAAGTCGAATGAACTTCTCTGCCAGGTCGAGATCGGACCAGACAGAGTGGGGGCCAATGTTTGGGGAAGAGAATACCCTGGACACGTGGAGAACCCCTATTGGTGCTCCAAGATGACTCATGAGTCATGCCTAGCTCGGCCCGCCAAGATCACCACTACTAGCGTTGACAGATACCAAGTATGAGGGCCGAGGTGAACCTGGCCGAGGTCCGACCTACCAGGAAGCTCGGTAGGGGTCGATGTGAGCTGCTGTCAGCGGCGTGATTATCGGGCGTAACTGTCGGTCCCGAGATTAGCGGGTGTAACCGACGGTCCCGAGATTACCGGGTGTAACCGTCGCGAGATTAACGGGACTACCACCCATAAGTAGAGGACCTCACTCCACGATTAGGTACGATGATTTCTGACCTCGAACTAAACTGGGAATCCGACCTATACTGACTTGATCGTCGGAGTGCTCACCTTTTTGTGCAGGTCCGCCCAAGTATTCAGATCGGTCCGGAGGTCGAGACATACATTGTTGTGCATATCCTTGCATAAACAAAGTTGATTTTAAAAATTAAAAAAAAATTTAGGTATTAGAAACATATATATTTTTGTTTTCCTCAAAATCTTACTTTTTCTTCTAATAATGTTCAATTGCACAAATCTCTATCCACTCGACGAATATGATCCAATATTCATACAAAAAGGGATTAAAATTGTTTTGTGATGAATGGATTTAGGCAGGAGGTGCGTGTGCGTGCGCGTGCGCGTGCCTATTTTTTAATATTGTGATACTCCCTTAATGAACCAAAATTTCATATCATAGGTCTTTGGCGCAACTTGATTTGAGCTTCCCATAAAACAGTTTGACAACAAAAGAAAAGATAAACAACCACTAGTTTCCTAAGTTAAGGCTCTTCTACTCTTATATTCATCATCATTCATTGAAATAATAAAATTTCTCAAATGTCCCAATAAATGTCAAAAATAAGAATAGAAAGAAAAAAAATAGTGGAAATATGTTTTGGTAAGTGCTTATTTGAAAGTCATTTTCTGTGTGGTTTTAGATGACCAGTTGAATTTATTGTTCCTTCTATTCATTGGGTTGTGAGAATGGGAATCAGATAGAAATAAGGTCAAAATACACATTTGGTCAGAAAATAACGTCGGTGTGTGGATGACCGGGCAACAACGTCGGTGATGGAAGGCTTTGAGTTTGAGAGAGTTGGGGTGGGGAGGTATTTTCTTTATAATAATATACCTAAATCGGTTCAAGTTTGAACCAACTCGAGATTGACCCGATTTGTACAGATGGCCATTTTATTTGTACACATGGATCGACCACGTCACACTTACGTTAAGTCTAACGTAATTTTTAACGGTAGGGACTAAATTGTGACCAATTTTAAAGTACAGAGACTAAATCGTTACTTTTAAAAGTTCAAAGATTAAATTGTTACTTTAATGAGAGTTCAGAGACCAGATGTATATTTTAACTTAGAAATAAATATGAATACCTAGGACTAAAAGTGGTGTAACAAACATTAATTTTGGAAGGTGCAGGGGAAACATTATGGCTTCATTCCCAGTTAAAGTTCATTGTTTGGCCTTGTGCTCGTTATGTTGTGAAAAGTTTAAAGTTCATTGTTTGGCCTTGTGCTCGTTATGTTGTGAAAAGTTCTACCAAGTTCCAAATACTTCGAAATTTAAATTAGGAAATTTATGTAGACTTAGATCGAGTGGATCCTTATAATCGGGACTCATTACTTAGATTGAGCAACACTATAAGCGATACAAGACTCGAACACAAGACAGCCCGAATTCTTTACCACTGCACCGTCTCAAGGGACTCGTTAGATTTTAGTTTCAAACTCAAAAGATTTTGAAATGTATACTACTGCATTATGTTTTTTTAGTTAAAAAAAGTCGGAGATTGAGCCTTCGGGAAAAAAAAAAGTAATAAACATCTTAAGCTATGCTTATCGATAGCTTGATATAATCACCTTTATAGTTAATTCAACATTCCCAAAACATTTCTAACTTGGTATATTACAAAGTTTTCTTAAAGACAATTAAAAACAATAACAATAATAACACGATGGATCTAAATAATTCCAAAATCTAAAAATCAGCAATGTGAATACCCTCATTAAACTTTGAAATGTTGTCAGCCCTAAGCAAAAATATATTTACAAAAATCTTGTTTCCAAATTCAAGAGCGACCATAAAGATGAATAAGGGTGCATGGCGTGATGGCGTTGCTTGCCATCATTCCATATTTTACCCGATCCCCTCCCAACTAAACTTTCACTTTCGCTGTTATTTGCACCCTCACCACAAATATAACTATAAATGTAACTGTCGATGTAATTGCAACTGTCAATACATATTTGAACTCAACGATTACTGTCGATACGACTATTAAAGTGATTATTCTAACCATATTTAGTACATATACATTAACAATTCCAGTGAGAATCATCACTCTCGGATACATTATAAGAGTTATGAAAACTATGAAGAAGAACTTTCTAGTTCACTTAAAAAAGAAGGATCATTGTCAATTTCAAAAATTTAATTTTGCAATATCCAAATATATAGAATAACTGCTGCTATTACTATCCCTATCCCTAACTAAAAAATGTCATTAGATGCAAAATTCCTAATGTTAACTAAATCCTCAACAGTACTATAACTAGAATTTGTCAGACATGCTAGCTCAAAACATTCAAACTCATGATCTGCATCATACAATGGCGAGGCAAACACCGTCTCCTGCTCGAGCAATATGAACCAAATTCCATGATTTTGACCAATACAGTATTCAGCAAAAAGCATTAGCAGTTCCCAAGAGCACAAAAAAGGAAAGAAGAATGGAATACTTCTATAGCCATACAAGTGAGGGAAAAACTAACCAACCAGTTCAAAGTCGACACTAAAACAAACTCTAAAGTTCCACAATTTACAGCAAGTGAAGTCATGTTTCTGGAGTTTTTCTCTTCTGTTTGGACACTGAATCCACATCTACTGGGGTCTCACCAAATACTGACCTGAACGAAGCCAAAACTCGCCAATAATGCATACAAATGCCTGTTTGAAGGACAAAAAGATACTATACACGCACTCTTCACTACCTCAAATTCAGATACAGGAGTTAAACCATATGACCACAAGATAGCAAATGAAACCAATAAAGAAACTAATGACACAGCATAATCTTTTAGCATTGTATCCACTATCTAGGTTACCATTATCAACAAGTAAGATAACATATACTAAGCTTCAAAGCTCCCTCATAATTCTTCCTAAATTTACCAAGTGCAGGAAATATTAATTGGCTAAGGAAAAAAATCCATCCATTATGAGATCTCAAAAATCAGCTTCCTCATCCTTTCCTGTTTCTACTTATATCCCATCAGCTTTAATAAAATTTTTATGACACCTCGTATAAAATGGAAAAACATAAGTAATGATTCTGGTTTTCACTTACCCACAAGTAGAACATTTCTTGTGATGCTTGCAGAATATAGATAAGCAAACCGAACAGACATAGCCCATGTCAATTGTTTTTTTGTGGCAAAAACACCTGAAAATTCCCAGTTTATTAGGTATTAGTAGTTTCCTTCTATGTTGGATACAAAGTTAAAAAAAGAATTATAACAAGAGGTATAAAATGGTAAACACSAGAGTAAGCGCCAAGTGGCAAATTTTTCAAACAAGAAACCGAACTTTTCATTGATAAAAATGAAAGGGAAAAAAAATGAAAAAAAAAAGACTGGATACAGACATAAAGAAAATACAAACTGCCCAAAAAAAGGAAGCCGATCTAACAAGAGGCAAAATATTAAGCACAAACCATAGAGAATTTGTCTAATCACAAGACTCCAAACTTACGATGCACGAAAATCCACACCAACGGACTTTGGAAGTTGTAAGAAGGCCCGAGAATGCAAATCAGTAGCAAAAACAGTCTGTACAAAAAGAACAATACATCACATTAGGACAAGCAAGAGATCAAAATGAATATAGGAAACAGCTCGAAGACCACAATCATCAGTGTTCTCAATAAAAGTTTGTTGATTTGACTAATCTGTAACCCAAATCCTTAGAAGACTAAACAGAGACTTTGAACTTGGAGAGGGGAACAAAAAGCCACTCTGACGAATATAACCTACAGAGAGATATTGAAACAGTCCATCCATTTGCTGAGGCTTCAGATAAACTCCACCCGTGATGTAAGAAGCCTATACAGAATCAGAAATCACCAACAGCAAATTAATCCAGGGTACCTAACATGGTAAGATTCTGGGGGAACAAAATAAACAGCCATTAACAGAACAATGTACAGATAGATACCTGCTGAAGAAATGCAGAATTGTGTGAACCTATGTAACACGAATCTATGGGAACCTGAAGCAGAATAATGAATCATACACAACAAGAAACTAATACACATGGAAACACAATATTGAATGTTGAATGTTGTTTACATGCAACTTGGAGCTGCAAATAGAGATCTACCTCGGACTTCAAAGGCATGACTAGCACACATGAAAGTTTAAATCAAACCCATAAATGCAAACAAGGATGGAGATTCGCCTTTCTTTCCAATTCTCATTGACTATGATCTATGAATTTTTTACAAATGACCAGATGGTCACTGTTATCACAAACATTGCAAATGAAATTATTTCAATCATTCTTATCGTCATATTGGTTTTTTTTTTTCTAAATGAGAAGCAGGGTTTTCATGAAGCAAAATGAAAGATCTTTGGGCCATATTGTAATGTCAAGCTGTACTAAACGAAGAGAAACCAAACAATCGAGAAATCTCAAACATTCTTATTCTTCATCTTTGAGCTTAATAGATGTTGGAGAGTGATTTGATAGTGCATCTCTATTTTTTTTTTTTTTTCAATTTCAAGATGTGTTTCTTAAATGATTCTTGCAGGACTTTTTTCATGACTTTTGGAGCTTTACAGTTACAGTCTTAATGTGGAGTACCTTAGACAAGGAATTTGTAATTTCTCATCTGTCCCTTCAGGAAAACTCCTTATCTCTCCTGTCCTTTCTTTATAATCTTAGCTCTTTAATGAAGTTCTCGTTTCTTATTTTACATACATATACATGCATACATTTATATGTCTTTCATTTTCTTCTTTTCACCTTTGACAAGAACAATAATAGAAAATCTGCAAGATATTCGTCAAATCTCCATCCACTAGACAAGAACATAGTATAAAGGTAGTTTCTGGATATTGGACTTCAATTCTGACTGTATAGACCAAATATTTAGTTGTAAACTACAAGTAGGTTTATCAAACTTATCATAGGAGCGTTCAAATTCAAATTCACTAATGGGATGCTTGCAATTTCTTCCAAAATTATAAGGGAAGAAACCTACAGAAAAATTCAGACCAGCACCACTTCCTAGTATCCAAACCGGACAAAGAACAAGTTTAATAGAGAGGAAACTTATGTCAAGCATTTCCATCAAATATTTGGAGACTAAATTTGTTACTACTTACCAACAATTAACCGACTCGAAGAAAGAGAGTTAGTGATCGATAGAAGTTAATGAAGCCATATATGGACACACAAAAGGGACAACAAGAAATACCAACCATTGAACGCTGAGCAGAAAAGATGGCATTCATGATTGCAACATATCTGAAAGAAAAAAATAATTAATAGAGAAATACTTAACCATTTGTATCCCTTTTTTAATAGAAAATACATTAAATACACTAAATTTAATTGAAATTAGCATGAGAATCTTACTGTTCAGGCCCATCTGGGGATCCCTGCAAGCAAAGGATCTACACTCGAAGTACATACATTACATAAATCAGTCACATTTTCTTCCAAGTTCCAAAAAAAAAATCAATTGGCAATTACTGTGTAATAAATAGTACTAGTAAGCAATAGACAAAAGAAAGGAAGAGTACAAAGCACAAACAGAATTTGAAAATTGGGGAAAGAGAGATCCAAAACAGAAATAAGTGCTTACTCGAGGATGGGGATGGAGAGATCCAGAACGGAAAACTTTCTGTATATCTATTCACATGGTTAAGCATTTAGAGCAAAATAATATGTTGATGAGTATTAGATTGCTTAAATTGGATTTAGAAAGTATACAGCAATGTGCAAATCCCACTGTGGCAACCATAACTATATCATAGTATTTTTCTGCTACTACTCGTTACCGCAAAAAACGATCAAATGAACAATAAATTTCCAAATGCAACTTTCATCTCCATATATATTGTTTAAGGCTAACTTCTACACAATGCTACTCAGTCACGATGGTCTGTTGAAACATTCTAATTTTGTGTAGAACATAATGGAGTTTTACTTTAGCAGAAACGAAAATAAACTATCCGCACCAAAAATAATCAACAAGGATACAGCACAAAGCCATGGAGAGTGATCCAGAAAGAAGTGAAGACATGGTCCCTCCTCTGGGGTCTTCCTTGACAGACTGCTCATCCGCAATCACGAATTCCTCCAAATTCTTCAATAAACGAGTGCAAAGTGCAGGCATTCTACCATCTTCAAGACCACGATTTGAATGTGAAGACGAGTTGTATAGATACTTGCATGAAGCATAACCAGTACCAATTACCACAACCTCATTAAGTTGATTCAGATCTAAAATGGAGTTCAGGAAAGCAAGTACCTATACACCCAAAAAGAAAATACCAACATTCATTTCTATTATTCTAAAATTCACTTGGAAGTTAGGTTCGCACATAGAGAAAGAGAGAGAAGTTATCAATTACATGAGAGAGAAACTTGGAGAATGGAAGAGAAGATGTGCTCCAAAAAAATGGATTCGTATCCAATAAAACCATCAAAAGGCTTACATCATCTGCAACAACACAATCAAAAGACCTTAGAGAAGAATAAGTCACTGCAACTCAAAAACTTGTACCTGGCACCCTTATAGAAGAAGAGAGGGATTGGAGGAGAACCTGCATAGAGCTTTGAAGGAACAGATGCCATGGTAGCAGTTTCAGAATTAGCAACGGAGAAAAACGCCCAATTCTAATAGACGTGGATGGAAATTGGGATACCACTCATTGGATTCCTCCGTTGGCCCAATTCTATTTGTTGTAGGTTTCAATCTTGGCCAACTATTCTCGCAAGAACTAAACTTGGGTTCATATGCCTTCATGTGAAAGTTCACTTCATATTTTCAAGGAGAAAAAAAGGGTTCACCTCATCTTTTTTCATTCTTACTTCACCTTCACTTCTCAATTCAGCATCATTTTTGTCATTCCAACACATCAATCTGCACAACACAACCGAAACAACTAAATTTTTTGCCTGCAGTTGAATCCTAATGTAGAGGAACATGCAACAAGAACAGAATAGGATATGACCTATAGACATAATTATTTCAGAAGATAAATCAAATTGTTCCCAAAAGACAGTGCATGCCAAATCAGTAACTAGAAATCAAAATCGCTGGTGTATAACCACTACCAAGAACCATGCTAGTTTCTAAACAATAAACGATGGAGGAGATTGACAAAGAAGTTCAAAAACTCCTCACTTAACTCTAAAGTCCGTATTGTAACACTCCCCAGTTCAAAATCAAATCACATGCAACAATTGCAATTGCTCCCTCACCACACAGAGAGCATCAGTTGGACATACAAATGGATTTGGATACCATTTTAAACTTAAAAAAGTGTACATAATTTCAATCACAGCAGCACGTCAGGCAACCCAGTGGCTCCATCGGTCTTTCATCGAAGTAGCCCAAGGAGTCGGTGTCCAGCGATAGAGAAGAAGCTTCTGGCCCTAGAGACTTAGAGGAAGGTTGGTAAATGACGCCGGAGGAAGATGAAGAAGCTAACACCCACTTCTTCTTCCACTTCCAGAAATGGTCGAAAGTGGCTTGGAGAAATTGACGTTTCAATGCAAGAGAGATTGAGGAAAGTGGCTTGGAGAATCACGAGGGAAATCAGTACACAAGAGGGAGGTGGAAGGGCTGAGAAACTGGGAAAGAAGAGGGAGATGCTTTTTTAATTTATATGCTATAATTAGATACTATAACTACTTATTCTTGATGTAGTGCCATGCTCTGGTACTCACCCATTCACTCATGTCCAGCTCTCACACAAAAGCCATATAACATGTTTTATACACCAAGATTCGATGCAAGATTCAAATCTCATGCTTCCATAACCACAAATCAAACATACTTACGAAAAGAAATGCAACCAAATAATATGTCCGACATAAATTCAGCATGCTTCCACAATTACAGCCAACCAAAACATAACATACTTTTCACAATTACTCCATCATGTTTCCATAATTCCAAAAAAGAACCATGCTTTCACTCAAAGTATCACAACATCACCCATTCAACATACTCAACAAGCTCTACTAATGCTTCGCAATTCAATAACACACTCAAAAATTTTACGGACCAAACCTATGTAGTCCAACAAAAATACAGAACCATATCGGCAACCAACCACTTAAACATAAGTTTCAATATGTATTCAAAATCAAACAATTAATATCACATACAGGGACAACCAAGCAGAACTACTTACAACACGCCTAACACTCCTAGCTCTTGAATTAGTTCGCTTCCTAGGCAATCAATCCGAACAACTTAGATTGAATGTGAAAGAGTATTAAAAGGTTTCCTTACCTACTGACCTTCACTCAAACCGCTTGGGTTATGGCTGGAACAATGCACACTGCAGATCTGAGGTCGAGGTTCGAGTTTGCAAAACTGACGCTGATAGAGGGTGGGTATCACGAATCTGGGTTGGATCGAGTGTGAGTCAGCACGGGAAGTTGCGCCGCCCCAGAGGATGAGCTTGCCGTTCGCGCTCGGATCTAGGCGTCGTAGTGTTAGCCGATCGTCGCTGGCCGCCGGGTAGTTGTGCGTGGATTGCCGCCGTTCGTATCCTCACCGCTGCAGATCCTTGCCGTTCGCGAAGGGTCGTTGCGCCGCCGTACGGGTTTTTGAGTCGTCGGGGGTCCGTCGGTCGCCGTTCTGAGCTGCGCCGCCGCGGATGGTCGCCGCCGAGAAGGGGGTCTACTGAGGGGATAGGGTTTTTCTTTTCTTTTTCTATATTCTGTTTCGACGCAACAATCTTGGGAAAATGGACAAAATGAGCCCAGAGGTCTCTTAAGTTTTTTAAAAATACAAATTTTCTAGTGACCGTTGACATCACCAATTTTGTCAAATAACCTCTCATGCCTTTTTTCTTACTTATTTTTCTCTTCCAGACTTCATCTCTCTTCTCTCTTCTCTCTCCTCTACTAATATTTTAGACTTGCCTCCTTATTTCCTCTCTCTACCTCTATCCTCTTTTTCCAGATTTTTTTTCCTCCTCCTTGTTTTCTTATCGGTTTTCATTATTCTCTATTTTCTTTGAGTTTCTTTTTTCCATCTTCCCTCTTTCTCTATTTTTTCTATTACTATTATTCTCTTTCTTCTTTACTCACCACAAAAAGCAATTTTTTTTCCTCCATGATTCCCGTGACTTTTAACCATCGCTGACGATGGATGCATCAAAGCCGACGAAGGAGGTCGTTCGCCRAAGAGAGAAGATCAGTTGAAGAGGAATGGGGGAGGAGATAAAGACAGAGAGAGCGAGGGTGAGCGAGGGTGAGCGGGAGGGAGCGRGAGGGAGCGAGGTTGAGTGAGGGTGAACGAGAATTAAGGGAATCTAAAAATACTATCTCAATATTAATTCAAATTTGTTTCCCGAAATCTATTCTCAATCTCATTAAATCTCTCACCGCAGTTTTAATTAGGATTGAATTAAAAACCCCTCATTTTGCTTTCATCTCTTTCATTCCTAATTTAAAATTTAATCAAATGAAAATATCAATTTAAAATCTAATTACAAAAAGAAAGTATTCGAATTTGAAATTTAATTCAAATTTGTTTCCCAAAATCTCTTTTTAATTAGATTTTAAATTGATACATTTGATTAAAATTTAAATTAGGAATGGAAGATGGGAAAGCAAAATTGGGGGATTTGAAATTCAATTATAATTAAAACTACATTGGGAGATTTAAGGAGATTTAAGGAGATTGATCAGAGATTTCGGAAAACAATTTAAATTAATATTGAGATTCCGTTTTTCTCATGATAAACATTAATTCAAAATTAATTTTTAGATACTATAAAAAAACAGTCTCATTAAAAATATTAGTTTTAGATTCCCTCAATTCTCTCTCSCTCACCCTCACCCTCGATCTCTCTCTCGCTCACCCTCGCTCTCTCTCTCTATCTCCTCTCTCATTCCTCTTCCACTGAGTTTCTTTCTTCGACGAATGACCTCCTTCGTCGGCTTTGATGCAGCCGTCGTCAGCGAAGTCACGAGAACCATGGAGGAGGCTGCTGGTTTAAAAAAAATTGAGAGATTTAGGGGTTTTTTTAAAAGTAAATTGCTTTTTGTGGTCAGAGAAGAAAAGGAATAATAGTAATTAGAAAAAATACAGAAAGATGGAAGAAGGAAAAGAGAAATTCCAAGAAAATTTTAGACACAATGAAAAAAAAAATTTTTGCTGAAGAAAACGATAAGAAAAAAAAATCTGGAAAAAGAGGGAGATGGAGGTAGAGAGAGGAAATCAGAAGGAAGTCTAAAATATTAGTGGAGGGGTAGTGAGGGTCGTTTGGTGTGAAGGTGATGTCAGCAGATGCCTAAAACTTGTGTTTTGAAAAGGATGATTAAAAAACTTAAAAGGACCTTATAGAATGTTTATTTTGTCCATTTTCCCAACAATCTTGGGATTTGTTTTTAACGGTCTTCTACTCCCTATTTTACMGTATTTTTAAGAGACAATTAGTTCTTGGTTGAGTAATGATTTCAAATTCTATAATTTTAATTTTTTTTGTCGAGCAACAAAACATGAAAGAAACTAAAAAAAAGATAGGTGTGTTCCCAAGTTGCAAGGTGGGCTTGGGTTCCAAGATCTTGAGTTGTTTAATGAGTCCTTACTTACTAAGCAAGGGTGGCGAATTCTGTCTAATCATTTATCTCTCTTGGCTAGGACTTTAAAAGAAAAGTATTTTGTTGACTGTCCTTTCTTGGAGGTTAAAGCTCGTACCCAAGACTCTTTCATCTGGAAGAGTATTATGTGGGGAAGGGTGGCGAATTCTGTCTAATACTTTGTCTCTCTTGGCTATA